TCAGGTATTTTTCATTTTTGAAGTCCATCTCTTTCGCTAATGATCTGGAGCTAGTCAGTAACGGGATTGATAGGATTTAGTTAGAATTCCTTGTGACTGGATCTGTTTATTGTTTATTAAACGTAAAGCTGAGATCTTTATGTCTTGGTTGTTTTCAACGCAACGGCATGAGCTACTTCGTGTTTCTTTTTGTGTAAGTTGATTGGACGGCCATTGATTACTTGGCTATGGCCTGAGAAGTTAAGATTCTTTTAGGCTGATGTAGAACTCTTCTTTTGATCAGTGAATCATCTTTAAGAGAAACTCTTCGTTTGGGGTTGTGATGATTGCTTGTGTGTTGTACAGATTGGTAAGCATAGAGATTCCTTTCCGTCAGGGTAAAGCCCTTTTGCTCCTTCTTCATCTCTCCTTCTGTGTGATTCCTTTCCTTTTGATATATCTAAGTAGAGCTTGAATATTTGGTGTTTGTAATTGCAGGCTGGACTTGCTATTGGAGATCTCAAATCAGATTTGTACTTTGATGACACTGCAAAAAGAAAGCTTGAGACTTTGTACTTTTATCTTAGAAGAGGTCAAAGAAGTGACTGACTTGGTATGAATGCAATGATCCTATGTAACTATAATGTGATAGATTGAAGATTGTAAAGTGGAAGTGAACTAAGTTCATGAGATGTTAAAACGTTAGACTTGGCTTTTCTCTACTCATTTTCTTGTCATTGCAGTATATAGTTCTTTAGAGTCTCCAATGTTTGATCTGCCTCAGGTTTTGTTTGTTTTGCCTTTTTAGTTGCTTTAGAATGCAATCTATAGTGTTCCTGATGTTAGTGTTGCTTCTGCACGCTAGACTTGGCTTTTCTCTACTCATTTTCTTGTCATTGCAGGAAACCAATATTCAACACAACCGGTTCTGAAGTATAGTGAACACAAAGCGGCGGATAAAGCAATTGCTTGGTCTCCTCATGTTCACGGGCTTCTTGCTTCTGGTAGTGGCACTGCTGATAGATGTATACGTTTCTGGAATACAACTATGAATACTCCTCATGTCCATAGCATGTAACACAACTTTGTAATCAAATCATAGTTTTTTTTTTATGCTAAGGACTTAAAAAAGTCCTACCAATAATCTGCATTTGTAACATTGTCTCTTACCTTTGTCTCTAAACATCCAAATAATACTAAAATATGCTAAGGACTAATTTATGAGTCCTACCAATAATGATGCTCTTAGACCACCCGCAACAAGGAGGTCCTTAAGGAGAATCCTTAGATAAATATTAATTTTATAACCAATGGGTCCTATGAACAGTTAAGGATTTTAAGGATAAAACTAGATTTTGACCCGCGCAACCGCGCGGGTGTTTGTTTTCGTGTATAAGTAGTTATATAAACATTTTGTTTTCACTTATAAATTGGTATATATCATAGTAATCACATATTTACGATACGTATAGTAAATGTTTTTCAAACATAATAATATTATGTAATACAATGTTTTAATCAAATAGATTATTTCAAATTTTCTATATTATACATGTAGTTATATAAACATTTTGTTTTCACTTCTAAATTGGTATATATCATAGTAATCACATATTTACGATACGTATAGTAAATGTTTTTCAAACATAATAATATTATGTAATACAATGTTTTAATCAAATAGATTATTTCAAATTTTCTATATTATACATGTTTTTCAAACATGTGTTTGTTTCTTCTTATATATTTTATTGTTTGTTAGATTAGTATTTCATTTTTAGATAAATTAATATAAATAGAGCTTGATTAAATATTAATATACTTTAATTTTCAAAGATAATATAAACTTTGAAGAAATTTTTCCTAAAAACTAAACTTATAGCTTCATAAATTAATATTATAAAGAATTTTATTAAAAAATAAATTTTTAAACAATTTCTTTTTTTAAAACAATATAATTTTAAAATTTTACATCGAAATAAATTTATCTAGTATATATATCGTGTAAACTTTGTTAGGGTATATAAATATTCTATATTACGAATATGTGATTTTTGTTAATATATTGTGGATTCATTTAACTATTATTGACATATTTCCTTATAAATAATAGAAGATTCCTAAACTTATATCTTTTGACATATTTTGCGTGACTAAGTTGGAATGTGTGGGATAATTTACCAAAACGGAATTGTTAAGCATATATTTGTTACTATAGATATGATTTTTCATAAGATATAATAATGATAAGATTATTAGAGAGTTAATGTAACATGATTTTCTAGTAATAGTCCATTTTTTTAAAAATCACACATGAAGTCAAGTCATGACTTCTATTTTAATATATAAGATTCTTATGTAACGATTAATCCTTACACTATTCATGGGCTCCACTGCCCACGTGTCGGTCCGCGATTGGTCAGGTTTTTTTATTTTAAAGAAAAAATCCGAAATATCTTTATATAATCTGAAATAGCCATTTTTTTTTTCCTAAGGATTCCCTTTAAGAATCCTTGCTGCGGATGCTCTTATTATCTGTGAGATCTACGCATCCCAGCCATAAAAGTTTGGGAACTATACAATTTAAGATCTATATAGGAACCATAGACAAATGCTTCACATGCGACTCAGGCCTAAACATAATGAATTGTACATTTGATTCACAAAATAAGAATAGTTAACTAGCTTTATGAAACAAGTTCTCTATTCATCAACAATCATTTGTTCATTTTTTATTTTATTTTTTGGTCAAATAACTTGTTCTTTTTTTTTCCCTCTTTAGAACACATGTTTTGATACAGCTGGCGGATATAGAATTCCCACAAACAAAAACCCAAAGAAAGGCAGCTAAAACCCATACCAGGGTAACTTTCAAATACAACACAAATATAGAACGAAACCTAAGCTAGGAACCGCAGCTAAAACATAACCAACAAGAATGAGCTACACAGGTAAAGGACGATTCAGCACAACCAACATTCCCACGTAATAGATAGCAATGATCCAGATATATGGCAGCTGCCCTTAGCCCGCCCGCCGATAACTTCCACTTCTATCCGAAGACAAAGTCTTTTCACCTCAGATCTAGGATCTATCGCTGCCGCCTATGGCTTGCTAAACGATACCATCCCCAACTAGAAACTTAAAACCAAGACTTCACAAAGCATGAGCGCTTCACGCTCCACATAACTCTCGGATACGGCTGGAACACACTTTCTTACGCCTTTTAGACCTAGATAGAAGTCCACCATAACCCAAAACAAACCCACAAGCCTCATCAGTCACACGGCTCCTATTAAAATTGCAATAGGCACCAACCTGAACCGACGAGAGAGCACTACTACTATCACAATAGGAGAAGGAGACTACATCTGAAGTCCAAGCTCAATCTTGCCAACAAAACCAGACTCATGACAAAGACCACTCACATCCTAAAAGCTCAAAGGAACTACCGAGCCGACAAGAGAAACAAGGACAAACCATCACTATAGACCTCCAGTGAAACAGGAACAAAAGATGAAGAGCACGAAAGAAAGTCAAAAGGTCAAAATTAGCGGCCAAAAACTACTACAGTACCAAATCGAACAAACCCTAGGTAACAAACCCAGATCTGAAACAAATAGGACCAGAGCTTCAAATCATGACCTCTCCGTAATAGATCTGAACCAAGACTCCAAATTGACTCTGAAGACACCAAGAGATCTCCGGCGCTCAAATCAAATCTTCTCACCCTTCCTCACCTTAAAACACGATGGTAAAACACTTACCATTCAAAAAGTAACCCGATTAAACACCCAAGTTACATTTGTTATAGAGCGTCATAGTTCATAAAGCTCGAGAGGAAAAGACCCAGCTTAGTGTTATAAAGGAACAGGCCCAAATCATTTCAAAATGATCTCATCTCTGAAGCTAATCAACAATTATTTCAGATTCGATTCTGATATGATGTCTCAGATCAAAATTAGTTCGCTGAATGAAATCTGAAGATTTTATCATCTCTCAAGATCCCCTAGAAATCCCAACAACAAAGCAAATCTCGAATCACAGCTATTAAGATGACGTATTCACTTTATAAAAGTCAGAGCCTGAATTAACAGAGTTGGAGGATAAAGCAAAACAAGATGTAGCTATTTCAGAACAATTCTTGAAAAGAATAAAACTCAAAATCTTTACTATACAAAACCACATTAAGTTGATCAAAAGTTATACATTCCATACTGACAACCCTAAAAAATAATTCGAAAGACTTAATGTAAGAAGCTAGGAAAAAACGTATCAAACGTTTTACGCATTAATTTTAAGAATTTGAAAATAGAGATTGAATGAATAAGAGCATCAGTTTTAAAAAGCTCGATTTATATAATCCGCATGGTTAATAGGAAGCACTGTTGTTGTGCAAAAAAATCATCATCTGCTCCTACTCATTCAAACCGAAAGTAAAGTATTAGATTCCAAAAACCTTAGCAATAATCCTAATGAGAGAAGAAACTAAAATAAACCACAAACTGAAGATGAAAATCATAAGGACAGGAAAGAAACTGGTAGATTGCGTCTGGATGGTACGGCAGCTAAAACTTTGATTTATATGGCGAGAGACTCACAGAAGCCCTAATTTGAATTCTCAGATTACTCAGCCCACAAGAGTAGGCCCATATCTTATGGGCTAATACTTAAATCTCCTTTTTTAAAAAATTCCTGGTTAAATGATGAGATCTTCCATTAGACCGGTTCGATTCTCTAAACCGGTGATCAGAGAGATTCTTTGATTAGCCGACGACGAAATTAAAGACACTGTTGGAAGTTCGAAGCTTGAAACCCGCATGACCGGAACATAAACACAAATCTCAAGATTTTGTCTGATCAATGCTCATGTTAAGGTAAAGAGTATAGTTAGGTTAACTACACAACAGATAAAAAGGAAAGCGAAGAGCTTAACCTTGGGACTTGGATTCACAAAGCCTAGATACTAAAGACCATAAACATCTAACATTTTTGATGATAGCATGAAGAAACAGAGATCATCACATATCCATGTCGTCAAAGATCTCCTCATCTTCTTCGTATGGAGGTGTGTCAGCGAGAAATGCATCATTTGCCAGGTTACTACAACAGACATTTCAAGAGTTAGAAAGATTCTGAAACAAGAACATTGCAAGTTGGTAATCAAACAATCTAACCTTATGCAGCAGAAACGAAAACCAGCAACACGCTTCTGTTTTCGGTTGTAGAATAAGAAACAAAAAGACCATCTGGATTTGATTCAAAACGAAGTTAACATACAGGCTAGAATCTGTGAATAGCAAAAATGGAAAGATGTTGTAACTCACATTGCTCCTTCTTCAAGGAAAGGATCAGCATTAGGGTTTGGGTTGTACACGTAGATCTCACAATCAGCTAGCTTTACAACCTGTATCAAATTTTATATGATTAAGTTCTTACCAATACTCTTGCACAGCTTCTAATGTTCCTTACTAAAACAGTGAGCTTACCTCATCAAGAGCCTCGTAGATTGCCTCAAGTAGGGAACCATCCTCATTCCTCTCAGTCCATTCCTACAAAAGCATGTGTGATAATACACATTATAGAAGCTTATGAGAGAAAGGAAAAAACCCCTGGATCCATTACATTCATCCTTTAAAGAAGCTTATGAGGGGGTAAAGTGAGTCTCCACGCTTTTTTCGGTAATTTCCATCTAAACACAAAAAGGTGAACCACTTGGAATACCTTAGAAGCTTCAAACATGTAGTTACTAAAAATCTGAGTAAATGTGTCCCAGCTTTCCTCCGAGAAAAACTGATGTGCTTTCACAGCGCTGGAAACAAAAACAAAAAAACAGAAAAAAAAAACAACAATACGATAGTGATAGTTTATATGCATATAACAAAGTTAAGCCACACTTGATCGAACTTTCACATTTAGGGGGAAATGGAGAGACTTGAACTCTCAGCAAGCAACAGTTCAATGAACCGTTGGTCAAACCTTCTGACAACACTCCCATACAGATTTATGAAAGGGAGACTATATATAGCAGGTTGCCTTGTCGCCCAAGAAGCTGACAATGACATTACCCATATAATCCCCCTCCCTCAAATAAAAAACTAAGCATATAGTTTTTTTTTTCCTTTAAGAATTAAAATCACATAGCTGATTACCTGAAATCGTAGTCTGGATACATCTGATAGAGTGCAAGAACCAAGTAGATCAAAGTCTTTCGACTGAAACAAGCACCAGTATATAGAGGTAAGAGGATATATATATTTTAATATAACAAAGAAAAGTGACGGAAAAGCTCGGTAACATTGATTAATTATACCTTGATCTGCTTAACAAAAGATCAACGGGTGAAGAAGAGTCACTGTCAGAAGATTTCCCAAGATAGTCTAGCATCTGAAGTTTCAAGGAACATGAACAATAAAATATAAAATTAAGGTCAAAAACACATGGTTGGTTGTAATAATAATACTACCTCATTCTCCAAACTAAGAGACAATCTTTTATCAGTTCCCGCATGTTTACCTATCCAAAAAAAAAAAACTTTAGATTATAGCTTGCAATCCAATTTGAGAGAGAAAGAAAACAAACATGTCCTTACATGAATAAGCTTCCAGACAACCTTTGATAGTTATTTCCCCGAGATTTAAATGACCCATAAACACATTCAATCTGTAATTTAAAAAAAAAAAACCGAAAACTGATTTCTCATAAATTCACCAATACAACAACTCAATTTAAAACATAAGTTTTTTAACCTGTCGAGGTTAGTGTACTCCAAGAACTTCATGATAGCAATCAAACAAAAGATAACCTAAAACAGAACAGCTTATCTCAGATTTAAGGTTTGTATTTAAACATCAACTAAGAAGCCCTAATTTCTACTTAAAATTATTAATACGAAACTTGAAATTGAAAAAAAAAACTTAAATACGAAGACTAAGAATTTGAGATATTTATAACTATGAGATCTGAATTATGAGCGGCAAAAGAAGAATTGGATTTTTTTTTTAAATTCGAGAGAGAGAGAAAAAGTTTACCTTAATCTCTTCAACGATTTTGCGGAAACGAAGACGATAATCTTATCTTCCTACGCTTGTGGAATCTAATAACGCGCTACGAATCCTCGCACGTGCGAAGAAAAAAGATGCGGATATGTATGTTCCCCTTTATTGGACTACGAAGCGTTTGAATTTCGATGAGGTGAACTGTGTGTCGTTTTAATGTTATTTCATGGGCCGTCACACGTTTTGGGTTTCTTAATGAGCTTCAGTGATGTATTTTATAGACGAAACTCTTGTTTCGGGTTTTAAATGGACTTTTCCTTATTGGGCTTCTAAATTCAACCGAAAACTGAAACCACACCACCAGAGTAACCAGGGGGGCTATACATTTATAATCTGAAAATTCTTTCTTCGAAGTGAGGGGGTGTAGAGAATGATATATATCCCATTTAAAAACAGGATGAAGTGGCAGATGATCATGATTGCAATTCAGGAAGGACAGTCTTGGTTATAGGCTCAATGTGATACAGCAACCAACGAATTAGCTTATGGTTTTGTGTGTTTAGTTCGTTTCTTGTCTTTTTCTGTCTTCCAAATATTTTCTCCAGTATACGGTACACCACACACATTCGTATGTAAAAAAAGTAATGTATATATGTACGAAAGACAAAACAATTTAGAAAAAGAGATAAGTGAAAGCATCTGTTGGTTTCAAGTAAAAGGAAAACTTACGTGACGTGAGCCATCAGCAATCAAACAATGAAAGACATGTTTAGAAACAAAAAAAAAGTCTAACAACAAAATTTTTTAATTAAGACGGAATGTTTTTTAATTTTTTTTTAATAATTAAGACGGAATGTTTCTATCATTATTGTCAAAAAACCGGATATATATCAACGTTGAAATTATTAAATCTCTCATATTGTGAACACAAACAGAATATTTTTAATTTTTTTTAATAATTAAGACGGAATGTTTCTATCATTGTTGTCAAAAAACCGGATATATATATCAACGTTGAAATTATTAAATCTCTCATATTGTGAACACAAAATTTTGTACGTATATTTTTAATTTCATATGTTTTTCAGTGAACTTTATTGTTATTTAACTCAGAACCGATCCTAGAATTCAAAAGACTGGATGCAAATGAAAAAATTGTGACCATTTTTTAATGGAAAAAAAAACATAAAACAAATAAAAGAAGTGAAACTGTAGCTACTGACCTTCAAACCCATGTATTGATAAGAGTATGACATATAACTTTACCACTAGACTAGATAAAATATATGAAATTTGTGGCCGAAATTAATAAAGAAAATAATTGACCGCAAGCGGGTGCTTCATCCGCTTTTACCAAGGGCCGCCCCATTTTAACTAATCCAATGACTTAGCCATATTATTTAGGGAAATTTGTAACTACAGTATCTTGCTTTAATTTGCAACTTATTCAGTATACGTATATATATATATGTATGTTGTCTTTTTAGTCAACATATAAATGTATGTCATATACATATATATGTATGTCAGACTCAGTCTATATAATAAGATGATAAACCTACAAATAGTGCAATTTGCTTTTATTTATGTCAGAAACTGATACTTTGTTTAGTGGTGTTTATGTATATATTGATGAAAAGGAAACGATTCCCGCGTGGGCCGCGACTCAAAAACATGAAGATACTTGGAATCAAGAGAAAGAGAAGTTGTTGCAGAAATTTGATTTGACCATTGAACGAGAGAGAGTTGGTGATAGTACTATTCTATATCTATATGCACAGGTATCTTTGCATCTATGTATTAAATTTGCAGAGGAGAATATTCGTTAAGACGTGAAGAGGAAGAGGTGGTAGTAGATAAAGGGGACATGCAATGCAGGACGAGAAAGTAATGTTTCTTTTACAACATCGGAATGATAACTGCTCCACTTTACTTCACTATATATGCCTCAGAATTTACTTTGTCCCAATAAGCCTGCCTTAAAGGCACCTTTCTTCCAATATGCATGTCCATGTTTATACATTACACAATAAATATACTCCATCCGTTTCATATTAAGTGTCGTTGTAAAGAATTTTTTAGATTATAAAATAAATGTAGTTTTCAGTTTTCAATGTAATATTTATTAATTTTATTATGTAATTAGTTTTTCTATTGGTTAAAATATGGTTAGGTGTATAGGTAACTGTGTTTTTATATAGGAAATATGTAAAATTAATTATTTTCTTAATCCGTGTGTACAGCTGTAGAATGACACTTATAATGAAACAAAGAGTATTTATTAGGGATAATGTATCGAGAATCAAAAAGACCTTAAGTAATATATAAAGGATTAAAATCAATCATTGGTTTTAAGTTGGAAGTTCATAATTAACTCGTTTCTAATATGGTATCAGAGCATAGATCCTAAAAAACTCTAAAACTACTAATTAATTGATTAACCCTTCCGACCAGGTATATAGGTCGTGTTTAACTTTTTAACTAGGTATAATTAATTATCGTATTTGACATGCTCGACCGAGTATATAACTGTCTTAAAATTTCGAGATTTATAGCCGACATCTCGAAGAGGATATTAGGGATAATATCAGTGGCAGAGCCACGTTAGAAGCAAGGGTGTCAAATGACCCATATGAAATGTATAAAATTTAGTTCTTAGGCTTATTTGCACAATTATCACCATGGTAGATTGATCCAAAACTTCTTTTGACCCACATGTCTTAAGTTCAAGTCTCAATTGACCCATGTCATGATAAAGTCTAGCTCCGCCGCTGGATAATATATCTCATATCGAAAAAATCAAAGGGACCTTAAGTAATATATAAAGGGTTATAACCAATTCACTAATCACTAATTGATTTTAAATTGGAAGCTCGTAATAAATCTGATTCTAATAATATTTGCATGAAAATATGACCTAGTGATATTGTTCATATATGGACTTATACAGAAGTTGTAACATTTTGTGCTTTCTACTTTTGCCAATACCATCCTCAAGTGTCTACCTTTTCCTTAATTTTCTCATCTGAATCTTGAGTCGATTCTAAGAAACATGTGTAGTGAAGAATTTTTACAATTATTTAAGAAGTTAACTCCACTCTAATATAAACTTATTTAAAAGAAAAAATTAATATAGCATAGCTATAGTCACGTTGACAAAAACAAATTGAACAAATCATACAAAAGGTTAATAAAAGCAAGTAGTTAATGTTTTGTCTACTCATCCAAGCTCAAACAATTTTACATAGTTCTATTTTTGGTATACCGTTCCTTTATAGTAAAAGGACTTCGATATTATACAAATTTGTTTTCAAAGACAAACGGGATACAACTTTTGTGGTATGATTCAAAGGCTAAGTCATTTCATGCCCCATGCAATGTCACTAGAGGCCACGCCTCTGCACTTTTTCACATCCTCTTTTCCACCAAAAGCTGACTATTTCCCTCTGTTCATGTATGTATGTCTTCTTGATGTAGTACCCTATTTTATTGACCATGCACCAATTAAATCGTAATCTAATTGTTTCTTAACAAAACAAAACAAAACAAAGTAGTAAGGGTTATGGTTGAACATAACTGTGCACAATGTTGCGGCTAGTTATATCATGCTGAAATTAATATGCATATTGGCAAGAAGGGAAACATTATAAGTTAATTTAGGTGGAAAAGAAGTTATGATCATAATATCCAGAGTGAATGTGATTTGAGCTTCAAATTGTATATGCTTGCAATTACATTTGCATGTACTGTATATCTTCTTAATAAATCCACAATTCACACCATTTTAACCCAAATTGTTTTAACATATTCTTTCAAAAACAAAAACAAAAATTAACGCCGACTCCATCAGGAGAATCATATCGGCAAATCCAATTAAATGAAGCTTTCTTTTTCTTGAAAAATATTTGTTGTTTTTAACTGTGTTGTGAGTTACCGTATTTATATGGGTTAGATCCCTGTTGGTTTCGATGGACTTATAATCGTAAAAACAAAAGAATGCTATGTTTTCGATGATTGTAAGAACAAGATTATTGGAGGTTTTTGTTCTTAACTTCTTAAAATATATATATGTATATATTATATATGCGTATATAATTGTGAGATTCTTAATTTTATAGGAAGCTTAACCGAAAATTTTTTATTTAAAAAATGTTCGGCTGAATTTCTCATAAAGTTAAGAACCCCACAGTTATATACGCGATTATATACGCATATATATTGTTTTAAGAAACCCAAGAGCAAAAACCCTCTAATAATCTTGTTCTAACTATGACGCAGTTCTTTGCTTCTCAAGCCCCCTTGACATCTCCTTATTGCAGTATCAAGAAGAAGTAATTTTGAGTAGATTGGGATCAGCTCAATGGTAGAGCCGGAGGAAATGTAACATTTGAACTCAAAACCACTTGATCGATCCACTAATTTTCCTATTTTATTAGAAACATACTAAACATACAATTGTTGGGGAGCACATGGTTCTTAATAGAAGTACAATTCGATGAGAAACAATGTCGTTCACAGCATCACAAGGTCTGTATGTTGTTTTTTGCTGTGTTATCTGGGGAAGTGAGCTTTTAACCGAAAACATCATCATTTTCGGTGCATGCCGAATTCCCCTTAGCATGTATTTATTTATTTATTTTTTAATAACTGACTTAAATATTCGTAGTTTATCGCTTAAGAATCATTAAATATTATTCTTGGGATTATTAAAACACTTCATATCTAAATAATTGAAATTTGACAGGTCTAATGTCATCATGCCTCGCACTCCACTCGTCTCGTTTTCTGGCTTTACTGAAAATCCCAGCTTTTTATTAAACCCTATAAGGTCAGAAATACCAAAATATTAAAAACGCAACTTCCTTTTTTTTGGTAAAAATATAAAGATACTATTACTAGATTTTAACATTTTTGACAGAATATAAAAGATCATAAGAAGCAGAGTGAGGAGAAGCAAAATTCCTAAACAGAAATTTAATTACATAGTTACATAGTCTAAACAGAAACTCAACACTACATTCGAACCGCTAACCTGAGGCTTGACCAAGAATGCACAAACCGCTTGCCGCTAAAAAAGAGAAACCACATATAATATGAGCAGTAGCGATTTTGGGCATAAGCTATGGAAGGCAGCATAGGCTTCCTGTCATGTATAATTTATATAACATTTTGCCAATAATTTTAAGGCTCTCTACCAGCTCAACTAGTTAAAGCTTAGATAGTCAAGTTAAAATTAACAGGTTCGAAGTGTTTCACTTCCACTAATTAGTTTTATTTGGTTATAGGCTCACAAATATATTTTAGCTTCCAACCCAAAATGTTTAAATATTTTCAGAGCTGGACTTGAATACAAGAGTTGGAACTCGGTAGTTATTGGCTTCTCCGATGATCCATTCTTAAAGATTTGACTCTTAAAAGTTCAACTTCTTTATCTATTTAAATTGTAACGACCACACACATTAGCAAAACAAACAAAAATTCCTTAATATGCTATATATAATTTGACTCGGTCAAGTCGTTGTATATTTTCCTAGTTAGAATATGTCCATGCCACCTTTTTTATATTCGTAAGGTACAATAGTGATTGTTTTTTCTTTTGTTGTATAAGATGAAGTTCATACGATTATGGTTGTGAATTTCCAAGCTGTTTCTATAACAATTTTTTTTTTTGGAACTGAACTGTTTCTATAACTTGTGGAGTAGTTGAACCTAAGAAGTAATTGTTTTACAATAGATTTACAGATTTTAAATTTTAAAACACAAATTGTGTATTGTTTTGGTAAACATATAATCTGATATTTTATTTACATTTGTCAAAATTTTATTTTGCTTAATTTGTGATTTTTTTTTTGCCGAAGTAATTTGTGATTTCTTTTATCTACATATATAAAAGAAGATAGATGTCGTAAATTAGCGCGAGTAGGGATTTTCAAAATTCTGCCATAGATGTTTTTGCATCTGCTGAACCATGTACGACGTATCAGACAAACTTTGGAGTAATAATAAGTTTTATTTTATTTTTGAGACAGCCAAAATATTTAAGAAAATCAACGTTATAAGATGGTGTCGAGCATGTAGATGCATGAGTAAGCGTATGTAATCTGTTGTATATACGTGATATAAGTTGTATTTTGTGTCTTGCATGATACGAGTTAGATAAAACGACATATGGTATTAGTTGTAATAATAAGATACATTGAAGAATATACCACTAGTCGTCTCCTGAATTATTAATATCTTATGTATGTTGAATAGGTGATCGAAATATCACAAGAAGTCAATAACTTTGTTGGCTTGATGACGCATGTAATATGCTGATTTTATTTGATTTAATTATGTTATTTTGGATTGAGTCCTCCATGCAGCTAGATTAGTTCAATATAACAGCTTTCTATATATGTATATGTTTGTAAGTCTTGTCTTTTTTTTTCCTTTGAAAAATATGAAAGTAGGTCCTTATGTGATTTGGGGGATACAATGGTTTTTTATAGAATTGGAGACAAATACTAGTTACTTGCTTGCCTTATTTCCATTACTTAATTTATATTTGTCTTGCTTTTCAAAATATTCGTTGTTATCAAATAAAGTATCAAGTAATTGTATTTTGCTATTTGCAAGATCAAAACAAATAACAAATACTGAAAAAATGTTAGTGATTCGTTTAATTTGATATTACTCGTTGCTTATTTTACGACTGAAAAATGGTAATTAGACTATAGAGACGGAAGTCTTAAAAATATATCTTTATTTTCAGAAGTAAACAATACTTTTATATTGAAATTCTGATATATTTTCTTCCTTCTTCATCTTTATAATAAATCCAAATATTTTATCTGAGTAACTCTTATGTTTTTTCCAACTTTCACTAATATAGAATATTGCCTAGCAATTAAATCTTAAAAACTTGGAAATAAATCCAAATAATTCAAAAGTATTTAGAAGTAGTAAGTAATGCAGTGAAACAAGTAATAACTATATTTAACTTTTACTATTTTTTTTGTCAACAACTTTTACTAAATAGTGTTGCAATGACTAATACAAAAAATATATTTGTAAATAAAAATTTTACAGAAAATTTTACTCAAAAATATTTCTTATAATTTTATGTTAACTTGTAAAAATGTAATACATCCAAATATTATCTTTAATAGATATTATATCACTAATATTTTTTAATCAAAAAAAAATATTTTACAATTTTAAAATAAAGAATAATTTATTTAAACTATCTAAGGTTTAGTAGTGATTTTCAGTTAAACATACGTTTTTATCATAATGCTTCATAACATATAAAATAACATATGCAGAAAAAGTAGAATATTAAAATAATATCTTTGAAATATAGACATAATTGTATTGTAGAACAAATCTAAAACATATTAATTGTGATTTTCATTTATGTTTAAAGTGAAACTTAATAAACAGTTTTCAAGAAATCATACAAAATAAAAGTTCTATAAAAAAGCCTTATATAAATTTTTTTTTGCATATATTTGTAAATATAGACATAATTGTATTGTAGAAAAATCTAAAACATATTAGTTGTGGTTTTCATTTATGTTTAAATAGAAACTTAATAAACAGTTTTCAAGAAATCATACAAAATAAAAGTTCTATAAAAAAGCCTTATATAATTTTTATTGCATAAAATGATGTCCTAAGCCAATATTTTATATTTTCTTTAACAAGCACGCCTCTGCGTATACATAAATAGTAACCAAGGTTTCATTGTCTGAACCGAAGTCATTGTTTAAATCATTGTATTACAATGTTTTTGACAGGTTTTTATGAAGTAAGTCTATGTTTTTCATAGTTTGTCCACACTTTATGGTAAATAATAAAATCTTTTATCTTTTGAGTTTCTGATCATTATATTCCAATTTTTTGTTTAAAGGTATGTATATTTGGTGAAGAAAAGATAAAAGGAGAAAAAGAGAAGAAAATACGTGTGTATATCATAACAATGACACCGAGAAAATAATAATAATGACACCATAGTATGTACATAATTAGATTGACCGCATAAAAAGCTTTTCGTATGCGTAGTACACATTACTATGTATAAATTGCAATATGAATCCCCTCTCTCTCCATGCTACAATTTAATTTCCACAAAATTCAAAACTACCAAACAAAATTGATAGAAAGTGGGATTTTGCTAATTTATTTTCTTCATCCTCAAGTCCTCTCTTATCATTAAGACACATACTCTCTCTCTCTCTCTCTCTAGATAGCTCCATGGCATTTCTTGTATCTGACCATTCCTCGAATCCTCGATCTCTGGTCTCTATCTAAAAACCCTAATTTTTTTTTTCTTTCCTCTCCATCTCCTTTCATGTTGACATCATCCGAAATTATTTGTCTCGCTCCTCTCCTGCCTTCTTTGGCTATTACGGTCACTGAATTTTGCCATGGTTCCTGATTGTAAATCCTCCTCCTCCACAACGCTTTCATGTGGGTTTTCCTATAGTTTTGCTTTTATGAGGTTATTACAAAAAGCTCATTATTTATCTACCGTCTCTGAAGACGACAGCAAAAACAACAACAAAGATATTCTCTTAGGATCTGACCAACAAGTAAAAGATAATCATCACCAAGTTTGTAGGAGAGACTGTAGCTTCATGGCCGACCAAGAAGAGCCTAGGAGTACTACTTCTAGGTTAATTTCCAAGAAAGACGAAGACGACAAGAACAACAATAGCAATAACAATAACAATATCAACAATAATAATGATGGTGAAAATCATGAGATGAGGCAAGAAGGGTGGCTCCGGTTAAGCATAGGCCACGAGAATGATGTTAAACCGGATCTTGACCATCATCAACAGCATCAAACTGATACAACTGCTAGGAGGGACTCTTTTCTAGAGCTTAACCTTTCTTCTAGCGGTTCAAATAGAGAAGAAGAAGTTAGTCTTCCATTGTCATCTCTCTTTCATCATCAGGATCAACCAGGAGGGATGATGATTAATCAATTGATGTTCCCTACCAGGCCTGGTCATGAGATGATTGGTTCTTGGGCGGCTGCTGCGTTTAGAATGCCTTTTTCTCCACAAAACCTGAGAGGACCGTACTTTGGTATGGATGTGGTGGCTGGTCCAAGCTCGAGTTTTCGAGTCATTGATCCACCTAGACGACCCTATTCGGGCATTTGGTTCCTCCTTCAAGCTTCTCAAAACCAGTAAGGTCTATGATCTCATGATTTCAAAAAAATAAAGTTTTAGATCATTAACAATTCGGATTTCAAGTCTTAGTTTTGGTTTTAATTATAAAGTGTAATAATTTGTTCAAAAAAAATATAATTATGAAGTGTAATAATAGTTTTACAGTTTTAAGTTATTGGCTTTGTCTTTGGTGAACGTTTCAGGACAAGAGAACCATTCTTGCCTCAGATACCCAAGAGCTACTTGAGAATCAAGTAACTACTCGTCGATGATTAAGATTTTACAGTTCTCTTTATTTCTTCAGTCAGCTAGTAATTTATACTACATATTAAGAATGATAGACAAAACTTTTTTTTTTTGTGTAAATGATAGACAAAACTTAAATCTTATCAAAATTGTTTATGGCTAATTGATTTTGGTGTTACGAATTACGTAGGGACGGGAAGATGACTGTTCGACTATTGATGAAATATTTGGTGAATAAGTTGCGATTGGAGCACGAATCCCAGGTACTTTCTACTCAATCTCATCATCTTTTTTTATTTCCTTTTCTTTAACTTTATTGTTCTAGTTCCATGTACACGTTTGCTTGCCGTAACTACAATCTTTATAGATGTTTCGAAACAAAACAAAACAAAAATCTAAACATTGCATAAATACTATTTTAAGCATAAGAGATTATAAGAATAGTATGATAAACAGAAACATATTAGTAAAAAAGGGGGAAAGAGTACATTCATGGGGGTTGGTGGACTGAGGAACATGACAACAACATCGGAACTAAATTGCCACAAAAGTGTCTCCATGTCAATTAGGTCACAAGTAGATGTCTCTGCTAGGTAGAAGCCGTTTTGTTCTTTCTTTGTTTTTATATGCTTATTATCCATTAATTGGTTTTCAACCTTTTTCAAGTTTGTCTTACTTGCTCCTTTTTATAGTTTAGGGGTAATTGATTACCGGTCGAGGCGTCGAGCCATTAGTTAGTGCTTTGTGTTGATCAACAGTTGAGATGAGTGCACCCTTTAATTTATCTGTTTTTAGATTATATATGTGGCAATTCACCCACCAACCTATTTATATACGAAGATTGAAATTTAGAAACCGATTACTATATAAACATATGTTGTGCTTACGTTTTAAAATGTTATGAGTACATTTTAAAACATCATCCTTTTCCTGTATATGTAAGTTACTTCTAGCTAGGGCCAGTTGTAAAAAGCTTTAGAACAATGTTAGGATACTGTATAGTGATAAATCACATATAGAACCCTTTTATTTAAGTCACAAGTTGACTGTTTTCGGCTATATCTTAATCAATTTATATACATTTAATTTTGAACTTGTATATATTATCCAGTTTACAAAAAGTAATTTATAGCAATTATGAGATATTTGATTATTTTATAAACAAGTTTGGATAGATTCTGATTATGACATCACACCGCATGGTTAGAAAACTAAATTACTGGAAATCAATTGCTTATGCTGGTCACATACGTGCTCAATTAATGGAAACCAATTGCATATATGCATATACACGTACAACTGTGACTATATCTATATCACACGCTCCTTCTAGAACTAGTTATGATCTCAAATGATGAATGAAATAAAGTAGCTTCCTATCATCTGCATGCTGACTTATTTGAAATCTTTCAAGTCGAATTCATGGAACAAAAAGTATATTTTTCCTTAATATTTCTGGTGAAAGAAATATAATTAATCCCTAAAATTACGTACGATGCTTCTCGTGCAATTTTAATAATTGTCATATATGTGCATTGATGCGCTCGCTTTCACATATCACGCTATAACTTTTATGATATTTTAACCAAGATAACTTTAGTATGATTCTTGAAATTAATTATTACTACAATTTAATTGTCAACGGACAATTACAAAAAGTTCGAGACTTTTTCCTATTCTAAGGGACCATTAAATATTTCAGTAACTATAGTGTGCATGGAACGTCATTAGTGGTGTGCTTTTGATAATTAGCAAACGATAAAATATAATTGATTTTACTTATTTCAAATACGTAGCTTTTTCCTATATGTCTATCTCTTTTCTTTTCCCTTCTCAAGCAAAATTGAAAGCCACACACAGATAAATCTTTTGGACGCCGTACGAAATTGCATGCGACTGTTAAACAAATATGAATAAATTAAAGGTATGTTGTCTTTTTGAAGAATTGCTAGCCTGCGCTGATCCATGCATATATATACACACATGTATATAAAATGCATAGAAAAATTCTTAGAAATGTGGGCATGTAGTTACTATACTCATTTACATAAAATGAAAACCAAAAGCCTTAAAAGGAAAATAATACAAAATTAATTGATATTTTAAAAATAATATTAAAAATTTGAGATGATGATCTTAGATTATATGGAATTAATACTTCAGGTAGTTGTATGCATGTTTTCTTAAACCATTCTTTAGAAGCTTAGAGCATGATTAACCCTGGGTTCTTAAACCGGGGTTCTTAGCGGAAACTAAGAAACTGTTTCTTAACTTTCGCTAAGAACCCCGGCTTAAGAACCCGGGGTTAATCATGGTCTTAGAAGTCTATTGAAGTTTATTAACATGGAATAAAGATAAATTAAACTACAATATCTAGGTCAACTCAATTTTAAAAATTTACTCAAATCACTAAGTTTATCTGTCTTGTTCCATTAAGGATGCCATGAAATATGTCAAATGGAACGATGCAAATGAGTATAAATGTATATCTTTCTACTCTCATACACATTAAATATGTGATATGTCTGATTTTTTTTTTGATATGTGATATGTCTGGTATTGATCAAATAATTTAGTTTTTGTTGACAAGCTGTTTATTTCTTGTCCATTTCTCCTAAACTACAAAAAAATAAAATAACATAAAAATGCAAAATTGACACATTTGATCAATGTGTTAGTTAAATAGTTCATCACAAAAATTAGCTTATACGGCATGTGAAAATTGTAATCATAAAACATATATTAGCTGGATATAAAGAAATGCAAAAGGATCACATTTGTCAGCAGTACATCTAAAGATATTATCTGAATTTTGTTTAGAACTTTAGGGGTTGACATAAAATGATGAAAACCCAAAATAGGGTTACGTCCACAAGGTCTTCATGGGCTGTTCTTTTGTTAGACGATCATTAGTTAAAATCAGTGTTTTGAGGATCAGTTTATGCGGCGTCTTGACCTTGCCTCGGTAAATCAGATCTAAACAAAATGAATTTTTTTTTTATAATATTTTTATAAAAATTGCTCTAGAAAATTAATCTAAATGTTTAAAAATTGGTCCAAACGTCCTCTTAAACAATAAGATGTGTAACTACCGTCTAACAATTTTAGAACATTGGTTAAAGTTGCACCTATGTCCATTCATATACATATCTTCCATCTATCTAATAATATGTGATGCTTTAGATAAAACACAAAAAAAAAATTTAAGTACTTAATAAGAATCATTAAAAATATAAATATAAATTCTTCAACCATTTACAAGATAGATATAAATATAATTAGTTAACTAGTTTGATAATTTATCTAAAAATATGAAAATAATTTACACACTAAAATATCAGAAATATTTATAACCATTTCATATTAGGATACCGAAAGATATATAAATGTAAAAGTATATCCATATATAATATATTGATGTGACTAATACTGTTTTAGGTAGGGCATAGGCATCAAGAGTGAATAATAGACGAATAATACTATACCTTTTGATATAAAATCAAAGCGCATGGTGGTAATTTATTTATTATAAACTTTAATAGCAGGATATGTATAGAAATATGACTTTAAAAATTACTTCACAGTGAGTTTTTGGTTTGTCCACGTAAAATTAAAACAAGAAATATAGAATGAGGTTTTTAGCAAAATCGTCATGCTTATGTTAGAAGTGGCTCATCAACACAAACAATAGAATTTGTTCGCATTGGTTTAGTTGATTATTTGTCAGTGACTCGTGTAGGACCCTTTCTTCACAAGACCCTTAACGAATTTGGTGCTTGGAAAGCCTTTTACCCATCAACCATAGCCATATCCTCAGAGTGCTGCATTTTCTTAACTAAATAAAGAAATTGTAAAGCGTATCTTTAAAAACACCAAACTAATAAATTTGTTAGTTTTAACGAATGTTAGATCTATATATATATATATATATTAATTTGCATGGCAAGTTTATGTTTTATATGTTATTTAGATTACTTTTTTTGTATTAAACTTCATGAGATACCTTAAACCTACACTAACTATGTAGGGTATAATCCATTTTATATTTTGAAAATTGATATCCGTTTTTGTAGGCTACTAAATGCTTAAAATATGATAAGCTGGTATATACGAAACCTATACATAGGCATATATTGATAAACAATGTATTTTTCGCCGGTGGAAACTGGAAAGAAATGCATGAAGTCACCCCTCAACAACAGAATATATAATTGCAATTTGCTGAAAGAAAATTGCATTTTTATAAAGGAACAAAATGGCACTAAGGGGCAGATAAGAAGCCATGAACATAAAAAGATATAAGCCATGAACATTTGTAATGCGATGCATGCACAACATTTTGATATTATATGAATATCCGATTACGAACTTTATGGCCCCTAAGAAAAAAAAACAGAACTTTATGGTCCCTATTGTATATTCAAATTTACATTTATTTGTATCCTTTACTAATAAAATATAAATGTTAAGATGTGATACGTGAAACAGAACACCAAATTTCCTATATTACTTATTATACAAAAATATACGCATATGTAAACTATCAAATATTCTTTGGTTAGCATTTATCAATTTAATATATATAGGTTTAACAAAAACTACCAATATATGTATATTTCTGAACTTTTATATACCAAAATATTATAAGCTACAAATATAAAAGTATGAGGGAAAAAATAAATGATAATAAGAGAATTTGCTTTGTGTGCCCTTGCTTCCTAATAAATATACATGTTTGAAAACATATATAATTAGGATTACACGAGACAACTTGCTTTTTCTAATGTTGAATTTGCTTTGTTTGCTCTTGATTATTCAATTGACACACATGGTTCCAAATGTTTACCTAAAAGAAAACTACCAATATATGTATATTTCTGAACTTTTATATACCAAAATATTATAAGCTACAAACATAAAAGTATGAGGGAAAAAATAAATGATAATAGGAGAATTTGCTTTGTGTGCCCTTGCTTCCTAGTAAATATACATGTTTGAAAACATATATAATTAGGATTACACGAGACAACTTGCTTTTTCTAATGTTGAATTTGCTTTGTGTGTTCTTGATTATTCAATTGACACACATGGTTCCAAATGTTTACCTAAATCGAACTTCTGAAATATTCCTCACCATTGAATACTCAGACATTACGGCCTATAATATCTAGAAAATGCATTACGGGTAGAAAAAGGGTGGGCCACTAAATGATTAAGATTTTGGACGTCGTGGGTACCATTCAAATTAATTATATTTTTTAGAATTTGAATAAGTATTGCATGCATAGTTTTCTTTAACATGTTATATAGTTAAATATATATGTGAAACTAGTTAGTGGAGTCATTGTTGGT